CTGAAGAGACCGTCTTTACTCCATTGTATGTTCTTGCCTCCTTTGTCAAAGATTAATTGATCAAAAGTTTCTGGGTTTATTTCTGGGCTCTCTATTCTGTTCCATTGATCCATATGTCTGTTTTGATTACTGCAGCTCTGTAGTATATCTGAAGTCTGGGAGGGTGATTCCACCAGATTCATTCTTTTTCTTCAGTATTGCTTTTGCAATTCTGGGTTTTTTTGTGATTCCATATACATTTTAGGATTATTTGTTCTAGTTCTGTGAAAAATGTCCTGGGTAATTTAATAGGCATCACATTAAATCTGTAGATTGCTTTGGGTAGTATGGCCATTTTAACAATATTTATTCTTCCAATCCAAGAACAGAACATGGGATATCTTTCCATTTCTTTAGGTCATATTTAATTTTCTTAGTCAGTGTTTTACAGTTCTCAGCATATACATTTTTCACTTCCGTGGTCAGATTTTTTTCCTAAGTATTTTATTTTTTTGGATGCAATTTGAAAAGGGATTGTTTCTTTCCTTTCCTTTTCTGATATTTCATTGTTAGTGTAAGAAATGCCACTGATTTCTGTATGATAATCTTGTATCCTGCTACCTTGCCGGGTTCTTTTATCAGCTCTAGTAGTTTTTGTGTGGAGCCTTTAGGGTTTTCTATACACAGTATCATGTCATCTGCATATAATCACAATTTTACCTCTTCTCTTCCAATTTAGATCTCTTTTACTTCTTTTTCTTGTCTAATTGCCATGGCTAGGACTTCCAATATTATGTTGAATAGAAGTGTTGGAAGTGGGCATCCTTGTCTTGTTCCAGATTTTAGGGGAAAAGCTTTCAGCTTCTCACCATTGAGTACTATGCTGGCTGTAGGTTTGTCGTAAATAGCTTTTATTATGTTGAGATATGTTCCCTCTATATCCACTTTGGTTAGAGTTTGTATCATAAATTGGTGTTGAATTTTATCAAATGCTTTTTCTGCATCTATTGAGGTGATCTTGTGATTTTTGTCCTTTTGTTGATGTGGTGTATCATGTTGATTGATTTGCATATGTTGAACCATCCTTGTGTCCCTGGGATGAATCTAACTTGATTATAGTGTAGAATCTTTTTTATATGTTGTTGGATTCCGTTTTCTAATATTTTGTTGAGGATTTTTGCATCTATGTTCATCAAAGATATTATCCTAAAGTTTTCTTTTTGGTAGTGTCTTTGCCTGGCTTTGGTATCAGGGTGATGGTGGCTTCATAGAATGAGTTTGGGAGTATTCCCTCCTCTTCAATCTTTTGGAAGAGTTTGAAAAGGATCAGTATGAACTCTTCTTTGTCTGTTTGATAGAATTCCCGAGTGACGTTATCTGGTCCTGGACTTCTGTTTGCAGGGAGTTTTTTTTATTGCTGATTCTATTTCATTTCTAGTGATTGGTCTTTTCAAATGATCTATTTCTTCTGGATTCAGTTTTGGTGGACTTCATATTTCTAGAAACGTTTTTCCATTTCTTCTAAGTTGTCCAATCTATTGCCATACAGTTGTTCATAGTATTCTCTTATGATTTTTTGTACTTCTGTGGTGTTGGTTGTAATTTCTCTATCTTCATTTCTTATTTTGTTTATTTGTGTCCTCTCTCTTTTCTTCTTGGTGAGCTTCGCAAGGTTTGTCAATTTTGTTTACTCGTTCATAAAACCAGCTCTTGGTTTGATTGATTTTTTCTATTTTTTAAATTTCTATTTATTTATTTCCTCCCTGATCTTTATTTCTTTCCTTCTGCTGATTTTAGGTTTTGTTTGTGCTTCTTTTTCTAATTCTTTTGGTGGCTTAGGTTGTTTATTTGTGATTTTGTTTTTCTTTGAGAAAGGCCTGTATCACTATGAACGCCCCTCTTAGGTCTGCTTTTGCTGCATCCCATAGATTTTGTGTGTTTTTGTTTTCATTGCCATTTGTCTCAAAGTGTTTTTTTTTTCACTTCTTCTTTGATTTCTTCATTGATCCATTGGTTTTAAGTAGCATGTTGTTTAGTCTCTATGCTATTGTTTTCTTCTCATTTGTTTTTCTGTTTTTGATTTCTAGTTTCATGCCATTGTGGTCAGAGAAGATGCTTGAAACAATTTCTATCCTCTTAAATTTATTTTGTGCCTGAGTATGTAGTTTATCTTAGAGAATGTTCCATGAGCACCTGAAAAGAATGTACATTCTGTTTTGGGGGATGTAATGTCCTAAAAGCATCAACCAAGTCAACTGTTCTATTGTGTAATTTAGTATCTCCAGTGCCTTATTGATTTTCTGTCTGGAAGATCTGTCCAATGATGTTAGTGGGGTGTTAAAGTCTCCTACTATTATTGTATTTCCATCAATTTCTCCCTTTATGTCTGTTAGTATTTGTTTTATATATTTAAGTGCTCCTATATTGGATGCGTATTTGTTAACGAGTGTAATATCTTCATCTTGTATTGCTCCTTTGATCATTATATAGTGTCCTTCTTTATCTTTCTTTATGGCCTTTGTTTTAAAGTGTATTTTGTCTGATATGAGTATTGCAGCTCCCACTTTCTTGTCATTTCCATTTGCATGAAATATCTTTTTCCATCCTCTTACTTTGAATCTATGTGTGTCCTTCACTCTAAAGTGAGTCCCTTGTAGGCAGCATATTGTAGGCTTTTGTTTTATTACCCAATCTGGCACTCTATGTCTTTTGATTGGAGCATTTAGTCTATTGACTTTTATTGTAATTATTGACAGATGTGTGTTTATTGCCATTTTGAACTTAGATTTCCAGTTGATTTGGTATTTCTTCTTTGTTCCTTTCTTTTCCTTTTTGTTATTCTTTCTGTGGTTTGACACATATGTATTAGCTTGGTTTCTTTTTGGTTTTTGTGACTCTATTGTATGCTTTTGATTTGTAGTTATCCTGTTTTTCAAGTATGTTAGCCCATTACTATATTGTTTGCTTTAGACTAGTAATCATGTAGGCTCAAACAAATCTTAAAAAGAACGAAGAAAAAAAGAGAGAGAGAAAAAGAAGATAGAGAAAGATATCTATATTTTCTTGCTCTCTTCTGCCATCCTTTATGATTTTGATGTCCCTTTGTAACATCTTCATGTTTATTCTTTTGCAACTCATTATGGTTATCATATTTCCAATTATGATTTTCTTATTTCTGTAGCTTCCGGCTTCTTTTCTATTTAGAGTAGATCTTTCTATATTTCTTTTAGGATAGGTTTAATATTGTTGAATTCTTTTAGTTTTTGCTTATCTGTGAAATTCCTCATCTCTCCTTCTACTCCAAAGGACAGACTTGCTGGATAGAGTATTCTAGATTGCAGCTATTTCTTATTCAGGACTTTGAATATATCTTGTCACTCCCTCTGGCCAGCAGTGTTTATGGAGAGAAATCAGCTGAAAGTTTTATGGAGATTCCTCAAAAAACTAAAAATAAACTTACCATATGATCCAGCAATCCCACTCCTGGGCACATATCCAGAGAAAACTGTAATTCAGAAAGACATGCACCCCAATGTTCATAGCAGCACTATTTACAGTGGTCAAGACATGGAAGCAACCTAAATGCCCATCAATAGATGACTGGATAAAGAAGATGTGATGCATATATACAATGGAATACTACTCAACCATTGTAAAAGAATGAAATAATGCCATTTGCAGCAACATAGATGGACCTAGAGATTATCATACTAGGTACAGTAAGTCAGTGAACGACAAATATCACATGATATCACTTATATGTGAAATCTAAAAAAAAGAAAAAAAATTTATTTACAGGCCAGAAACAGACTCATGCACATAGAAAACAAACTATGGTAATCAAAGGGGAAAGGAGGGGAGAGGGCTAAATTAGGAGTTTGGGATTAACAGATACACACTACTATGTATAAAATAGATAAACAGCAAGGACCTACTGTGTAGCACAGGGAACTATATTCAATTTCTTTTAATAAGCTGTAGTGGAAAAGAATCTGAAAAAAAAAGTATGTATCTGTATAACTGAGTCACTTTGCTGTACACCTGAAACTACCATAGCAAATCAACTACACTTCAATAAAAAATAAAATTAAGAGAATAAAAATAAAATAAAATCAAGGTAACTTAAAAAAAATTCAAAAAAATACCCTTCAGCAACAACACAATAACAAAATGAGCCTGAGCTTGCAGTGAGTGATAGCAGGAGGAAGACCAGTGCTGTTGGGAGGAGTAAACAAGAGACAAGATGAGGTCTAGAAAGTAGATGAGTGTTGGCTCTTCCAGGGCCATGAAGGAGTTCAGAATTATTTCCAAGTGAGATGAGAAGTACTGGAGTCTTTTAAGCAGGGAAGGAATATGATCTAATGTACATTTTTGAAAAGAAGATGACTCTGCTTTGCAGAAAATAGATTGCAAGGAGGCCAGAGCAAAAGCTAGAAGAGAAGATGGGAACTCTAGCAGGTTAGATGGTGCATCCACTCAAGAGGCATGTCCCCCTGGAATCTTAAAACATTTCAAATCTTATTTAGAAAAAGAGTCCTTGCAGATACAACTACATCAAGGATCTCAACATGAAATCATGCTGGATTATCTAGTGGGTCTTTAATCCAATGACGACAAACATCTTTATAATAAGACATACAGACAGAGAAGGCCATGTGACGGCAATGTCAGCGATCAGAGTGATGAAGCCCCAAGCTGCTGAATGCCTAAAGCCACCAGAAGCTGGAAGAGGCAAGGGAAAATTCTCTCCTAGAATGTTTGATGGGAACACGGACCTGCCAACCCTTTGACTTGAGACTTTTAGCCTCCTCACTAAGTTTCTGTTGTTTTAAGCCACCCCAGTTGGTTGTGATTTTTTCCATGGCTGCCCTACAAAATTAACACATGGGCTACTTCAGTGGTGACAGACATGAGCAGTGTAGAACAGCTTCTATCAAACTTACATGGGCTTGTATTTGTCACCATTGGAGGATAAACTCTTTCCATCCACCACAGAAGAAGCCAATTTCTTTGTTGTCTCAGAGACTACATGGAGAATGCATTGTGTTAGCTTCACCTTGCCGAGTTGAACAGCTGCAAGATTTTCTATCACGTAATCCAGGCTGGACTGTGTACCTGGATGGGGGAAATGAGAAATCAGATGAGATGTCACTGTTCATTTAAATGTTAGGAAAAAGCTGTTCAGTGGCTAGAAAGTGGTGTGTTTAGAATTATCCAAACTCATGTTCAATCATGAGAAAAATGGGATAATGGCAAATCACTCCCACATTTTAAAAATTTAAAATTTGGATAACACTATAATTCCTGAGCATATCACAATGCAGCTATGATCATCAAAGGAGATGAACTATAAACATACCATCAAAGAGATGAAGTGTAAACATAATAACCAAAATTTATTGAACAGAAGCAAACTAAATGTCCATTGACAGATGATTGGATAAAGACATGGTACACATGCTCAGTGGAATGTTATTCAGCCACAGAAAAGAATGAAATAATATCATTTGCAGCAACATGGACGGATCTGGAAATTATCGTATTAGGTGAAGCAAGTCAGGCAAAGAAAGGTAAATATATGGTATCACTTATATGTGGAATCTAAAAAAATGATACAAATGAACTTATTTACAAACTGGAAATAGACACAGGAAACAAACTATGCTTACCAAAGGGGAAAGGAGTTGTGGGGAAGAGATAAATTAGGCATTTGGGATTAACACATACACACTACTATATTTAAAATAGGTAAACCATAAGGTCCTACTGTATAGTACAGGGAACTATATTCAATACCTTGTAACAATCTACAATGGGAAAGGATCTGAAAAAGAATATGTATATGTATAACTGAATCACTTTGCCATACACCTGAAACTAACACAACATTGTAAATAAACTATACTTCAATAAAAATAAATTAAAATAATTTATCAGACAATTCTATGCACTCAGTGCAGGAGATTGTTGTTGCAATGGTGCCAGCTTTTTCCTCTTCACTCTTTAGATTTTTCTGTCCTGAACTGACTCTGGGATTGACCATGAAGCTTGCTTTGGCCAATGGAGCAATAGCAAATGTGAATCAACAAGAAGCTTGAAAACTTACTAATCAGTAAGACGCTTGCCTTCTCTTTCTGCTCTAGAGAACCCTAGGACTTCTTTACATTATCCAGTCCACGTCCATCTGCACAGACAGTAGCCAGCACAGACAAAGCTAGCATCAGCAGACACACTCGGAATTGCGGCCAACCTAGCGCAGCCGGCTCATACACAACCCCCAGTATCTAGGAGAGGCCAGCAGAGGAATCACCTAGCTGAATCTAGTCCACATTGCTGACCCACAAAGTTGTGAACTAATAAATGATTGCTGTTTTAAGTCAGTATTTTGGAATGGTTTGAAAACCTAATTGATAAAATTAGGCGTAGTGCTAAGCATATCACATTCAAGATCTCATTCAATCTTTAAATAGCTCTATGTTTTGGATACTATTATAAGCCTCATTTTTATACATAAGGAAACTGATCCACAGAGAGGTTACTACTTGCCTTAGATCACACAACTACTAAGAGGCCCAACAAGGTCACGATTTTAGGTCATCTGACTCCAGAGAGCACATTCTTAACTACTAAATTCCTCCTTTGTAAGTACAACATAATGATAAAACAGAGATGAGACAGAAGGGAAGCCCTGTTCCCATATTCAAGCTCCTTAATAGATCCTAGGCTAAATCATGAATCCTTAGCTATTAAGAAATCATATTTCCCATGTAAACCCCATGCACTGCAGTCTTCAAGTTCTAATTCATTGTTATTGGAGGAGGCCAGCAGAACGCTGTGGCTGCCAGTTGACATGTGAGTTGGACTTGGGCAGTTGGAAGCTCTCCATCCTCTCTCCTGTTCTTGGAATGTGCGTTCCACTTGCCTTTCCAGTTCTCAGAAGCTGCTGCAAGGACACAGCCTTGAGATAGAAATGCAGTGTTGAGACCATCTGGACTGGGTACATGACTGAACCCCATTAAGGTCACTATATACATTTTTAAGATTTTGGTAGGCAGGTGCAGTGGTCTACTCGCCTTGCAGCCCCCCAAGACAAGCCTGGAAGTAGGTTCCCTTGCTTATGAAGCCTACCACCAATCTGGAGTGATCTGCCTCTTTCTTGGGTCTCTTCCTGCTGTACATGTGTACAGGGGCTGGTTTCAGATTTCACCTGGAAAGCTCCAAAGGAGGTTTGTGAACTACACACTGTGGAAGTGGTGGCAGCTGAGAGAAAGAATGGACAGCAGGCTGAGGGTCTGAGACTTGGAGTAAAGACATAGAGGATATGGGGATGTTACTCAAAATGAAAAGCAACCCTACAGATGTAGACATAGGAGATCCCAGTAGCCAGCACAGACCCAGGTCCCCTTACTTTGAATCTGCAAATGTTGCTTCCAGTTGATGACTTCTGGTGAGCCAAGGAATTCCTGACATTTCTTGGGGTCCTTGGCGTAGACTTGGTAAGTATTGGTGTAGTGATCAAGGTCGTCTTTCATCTCCTGTTTCGGTTGGGAAATCAAACAAGATGCTTGTGTTTAGTAATTGCCATACTAGTTATCAGTGTTCTATTATATTATGATATTTTTAAACACTAGCATTTTTGTTGTATTGATTTTATTTAAGGATTATTTACATTATGAGATCAAGTCAGACTCCCTTATTCAAGTAATAATGAAAAATGTCCCAAACAAAACCATTCCTAACTCAGCTATTACTTTTAAATTTTCAAACCAAACAAAAATAATCCACTTAAAATTATTTTTCTGTGTCTCCATGAAACTCAGTAAGAAGCTTGAAAAAAAGTGACTCTTCACTGAGTCTTGCCTTCTCTTTCTGCACTTGAGAACCCCGTGACTTGTATATGCGTCCAATCTACTTCCATCAGCATGGTCAAAAGCCAGCAAAAACCAAGTTGGCATCCACAGTCAGACTTGGGATTGTCACTAATCTAGTCCTACCGGCTCATGCAAAATGACAATTGAGAAGCAAAATCTTTGGCCAAAAGAATAAATCTTGCTCTTGTGCAAAGATTTGTAGAATATGTCTGTATTAAAACTGATGCAGGTAACAGGTGAGATGATTCTTCTATAAACTACGAAACTTAGAAAAAATGATGAAATAGGTTTGCTTCCTTTAAAAAAATCATACCATTGTTAAACAAACAACAGTTCCATCAGACAAGTAAACATACTCATTTAAATATATCTATCAAAATAATTAAACCTTACATAAGGTTATTTGAGGATGAAGGAACAGATAGGAAAAAAATTACTTCAGCCAGTGCAGAATCAGAAAGCTTTTTTCCCCCTATAATATCTGGAAAACATGAAAGAAATATAAACTTTCTATTCAGTAAGGATACTCCTGATCAAATTTTATTCTTAAGAGTGATGTCACCAAAATGTCAGTGTAGGAGACCCTGGGCTCTGTCCTGCCGCAGAGATCCACAATTAGATGGCTACCCATGAGCAAAAACAGCTCTGGGAGAGCTTGAGAGCCCACTCAAGGAACTTCAGTGACACAGCAGAACAAAAAACCTGAGACTAACTGCAAGAAAAAAGAAGAAAGGCAACTTCATTTTATCTGCATCATCCCATCCACCCAGCCTGCATTGCTCAGTGCCAAAAGGTAACTCCCCAGCTAGAAAGAGTTCCCCCTCACCAAGAAAGGAAGAGCAGGGTGACCAACCAGTTTCCTCAGGCTTTGGGGACACCACACAAAGATCCCATCTCTGTTTCATACCACTCAGACTGACAAAACTGAGATGTATAGAGATGGCTAGGAACAAAGAGGAAAAACAGGGGCTACCAGTAGCAGTCATGTAGTGGGAGTGATTCATGGTTCACCTTGGCCTGCCCTGCAGAAAAACCTAGCTTTTGCCCCTGAAGAAACCAGCAGTCAGTACAGCCATCATGGACCCCCTGCAGATTTCACCAACTTTTGCTCTGCAGGTGTTTACATTCTCTGATGCCAGTCACCCCAGCCCCTCCTCACTTCCTTCCCCACAGGCTTGTGCTAGAGCCAGGGAACTGCACCAGCAGTCAGCGGCCAGCTGTCAGCTCTGCAGCTTCATGCGTGCCAGACACCAGCTTGGACCCATGCAGCTGACACCTACCACTTAACGCACGATTTGGACTAGCCCCTCCAGCTGAGTACTTGCATGCCGCTGGCCTAACAACTGTCACTGGCCTCCACTGCCATTTGCACTCCATGCACACACAGAAGGTCACATCAATAGCCAGGGCCCCCATGGCTGTTTGTAGGCCTGACTCAGGCCCCATCTTCTGTCACTGGCCTGCACCACTGCAATAACCTGCAGCTGGCCCCTCCAGCTGTCCACTTGAATGCCCACAGCCCAACCCCCATTACCAGTCTCTACTGCTGTGCACTTGTGGCAAGACTCAGGATGCATGTAGTGCATTCCAACAGCCTGCTGCTCCCACAGTTGTCCTGGCCCTTGCTGCCTGCCCTGGTCCCACCACTATGTGTATGTTTGCATATAGCCCCTACCACCATACAGGCGCCTGAAGCTGATCCCCACAGCTGTGCATGTGCACACAACTGGCTTCAGCCACTACCACTGCCCTGGCCCATAGCCACTGGACTTGGAGATGCCACTGAGGACCCCAACAGTGTTACAGCCACTGTGGGCTCCCTGCAATGCTCACTAAGCATCATCAATGATGTGGCCTGAGTAGAAGAGGCATTGCATACCCCCCCAAATTGGTGCCTCCACATGCCCCTGCACCTGACACCTGCATCACTAAACTTGGGGTCACAGCACATTCCAGAGTGCCCCTACCCACAGGTAAAATTTTTCCTTACCAAAGTTGGTCCATAACATATGGAAGAGGTGCAGACACCCACACAAGGCTACAAGGATCATGCAGAACCAGGGATGCATGAGATCACCAAAAAACACAGTAAACCACCAGCAACTAGCCCTAAAGAAATGGATTTCCAGGAATTTCTTAACAAAGAATTCAAAGTAATTTTTCAAAAGATGCTGAGGGACCTATAAAAGAATACAGACAAACAACTGAACAATATCAGGACAACAATACCAGAACAAAATGAGAAGTTTGGAGATGGAAAACATAAAAAAGAGCCAAGCAAAAATTTTGGACGTAAAGAATACAGTGACTTCACTGAAGAATTCAACAGAGAACTTCAAAAGTAAACCAAGCCAAACATAAGAAAGAATGTGAGCTCAAAGTCAGACCAATTGAAATTATCTAATCAACAGAAAAAAATGAGTAAGAATAAAAAACTGTGATGAGAGCCTACAAGGTTTATGGAGTACTATCAAAATAACTAATTTGTAAACTATTAAAGTTCCAGAAGTGTAAGAGAGGGAAGAGGGGCAAAAAGTTTATTTAAAGGCATAGTGGTTGAGAATTCCCCAAATTTGGGGAGAAATTGGATATCTAAGTTTATGAAGCTTATAGGTTTCCGAGCAAAATTGACTTAAAGAGAACCTCTTTTAGGCACATTGTAATAAAACCATGAAAAATCAAAGGCAAAGAGAGAATCTTAAAAGCATCCAGAGAAAACAAGCTTGTAACTTACAAGGAATCCCCAAAAGGCTATCAACAGATTTCTCAGAGACCTTGCAAGCCAGGAGAAAATGGGGCTATATATTCAAAGTGCTGAAAGAAACATACTGCGGACCAAAAATACTTTACCCTGCAAAGTTGTTCTTCAGAAATGATGGCAAGATAAAGAATTTCACTAACAACAACAACAAAAACTGAAGGAGTTCGTCAGCAACAGACCTGCCTTATAAGACATTCTGAAATTCTGAAAGGGATTCTTTAAGCTGAAATGGAAAGATCACAATTGGAAACATAAAACCATATGAAAACATATAGCTCACTGGTAAAAGTAAGCAAATAGATTCAGAATACTCTAATACTGTAATATGGTGGTAGGTTAACCAGTTAACACCAGTATAAAGATTAAAGGACAAAAGGATTAAAATATCTATAGCTACAATAATTTGTCAGTGCATACCCAATATAAAATATAAATTGTGACATCAAAAACATGAAACAGAGACAGCAAAAGGATAGAGGTTTTGTATGTAATTGAACTTTAATTGTTATCAGAGTGAAATAGACTTCTACCATAATATGTTTTATAGAAGACTCATGGTACCACAAAGCAAAAACCTACAGTAGATTGACAAAAGATAAAAGAAGGGAGTCAACTAATGCTTACCACTGCAGGAAACCATCAATTTACAAAGGAAGGCTGTGAAAGGAAGAAAGGAACAACAGAATAACAAAACAGTAGAAAACAATAAGGAGGCATTAATAAGTTCTTTTCTATCAATAAGTACTTTAAATATTAATGGATTAACTTCTCCAATAAAAATATATAGAGTGGCTAACTGTATAACAAAATAAGATTGACTGTTGCCTACAAGAGACTCACTTCAGCTTTAAGGAAACATATAGGCTCAAAGTGAAAGGATGAAAAAGGTATACCTTGCAAATGGAAATCAAAAGCGAGCAAGAAGATCTGTACTGATATCAGACAAAATAGAGTTTAAGCCAGGAATGGTACACAACAAGGGGAAAAGAAGGCCATTATATACTGATAAAGGGGTCAATTCATCAACAAGATGTAACAATTATAAAAAAATGCAGTGAACAATAGAGTACCTAAATATATTAAGTAAACACAAACAGATCTGAAGGGATAAATAGAAAGTAACCCAATAATAGTCGGAGAGTTCAATATCCCACTTTTGAAGGTGGATATTTTATCCAGACAGAAAATCAACAACAAAGCATTCAACCTGAGTCATTCTTTAGACCAAATAGACCTAACAGACATATACTGAACAAAAGAATGTCCATCCTTGCCACTTTTTTCCAATGTAATATTGGAAGCCCTAGCTAGAGTAAGCAGGCAAAAAAAAGAGTTGAAAGGCATTCAAATCAGAAAGGAAGACATGAAATTGTCTTTGCAGGTAATGATCTTATATGTGGAAGATCCAAAGGATCCCACCAAACACTGAGAGCTAATCAGTGAACTTGGTAAGAAGACAAAATCAATTTACAGAAATCAGTGGTGTTTGTATGCACTAACTGTAAAGAAATTATATAACTAACTGAAAAAGAAATTTTAATAATCCTATTCACAGTAGCATCAAAACAATAAAATACTTAGGAATCAATTTAACTAAGGTAGTGAGAGATATGTACACTGGAAACTACAGGACTGCTGAAAGAACTAAAGAAGAGACAAACAAATGGAAAGCTATACCATTGAATTCATGGTTCATGGATTGGTTTATGGTTCATGGATTGAAAGAATTAATATTGTTAAAATATTCATACTACCTGAATCTGTAGATTTAATCAAAATTCCAAAAGCTTTTTTTTTGCAGAAATAGAAAAAAAATCCTAAAATTTATAGAGAACCACAAAAGACTTTGAATAGATAAAGCAATCCTGATAAACAAAAACAAATCTGGAGGCTTCATACTTTCTGATTTCAAACTATGCTACAAAGCTATAGTAATCAAAGCAATATAGTACTGGCATAAAAATAGACACATAGACCAATGAAACAGAATTGAGATTATAAATAAACTCTTGCATATACAATCAACTAATATTTGACAAGGGAGCCAAGAACATGCAATGGAGAAAAGATAGTATTTTCAATAAATGACATTGGGAAACTGGATAACCACACGCAGAAGAATAAAACTGGATCTCAATCTTACACCACTCATAAAATTAACACAAAGTGGACTAAAGACTTAAACATAAGTACTGAAACTATAAAAACCTACAAGAAAATTTAGGGATAAAATTCCTTGACATTGGCAGTGATATTTTGGATATGACACCAAAAGTACAAAGTAAGCAAAAAACAATGATTGGGATTACATCAAACTAAAGAGCTTTTGCACAGCAAAAGAAACAATCAACAAAATTAAGAGGTACCTATCAAATGGGAGAAATTATTTTCAAATTGTATATTAGATAAAGGGTTAATATCCAAAACACAATTTAAAAGCCCAAATAATTCCATTTAAAATGGACAGAGGAATTGAATAGACAGTTTCTAAAAGAAGACATACAAATGGCCAACAGATACATGAAAAAGTGCTTATCATCACTAATAATCAAGGAAATGCAAAACAAAACCACTCATGTCAGAATGGTTATCATCAAAAAGACAAGAGACAGCAAGTAATGGTGGAGCTGTGGAGAAAAGGAAACCCTGTGCACTGCTGGTAAATTGGTAAAGCCACTATGGAAACAGTATGGAAGTTCCTCAAAAAATTAAAAATAGAATTGCCGCATGAATCAGGAATTCCATTCTGGGTATATATCAAAAGGAAATAAAAACAAGATCTTGAAGAGATGTCTACACTTCAGCATAATTCACAATAGCCAAGATATGGAAACAATGAATGAATGGATAAAGAAAATATGGTACATCTATACAATGGAATATCAGCCAGCTATGAGAAAGAAGTAAATCCTGCTATTTATGACAACACGGATAGACCTTGCAGGAATTATGCTATGTGAAATAAGTCAAACAGAGGAAGATAAATACTGTATGATCTCTTTTATATGGGGAATCTAAAAAAGCTGAATCATAGGAACAGAGTTGAATAGTGGTTACCAGAAGCTGGGGTGGTGGGGGGCAGGTGAAATGGGGAAATATTGGTCAGAGAATATAAACTTCTAGTTATAGGATAAATAAGTTCTGGGGATCTAATGTACAGCATGGAGATTATAGTTAATAATATTGTATTATATGCAGTTGACCCTTGAACAACATGGAGGGTAGGAGCACCAACTCTCCCCTCAGTCAAAAAATCCATGTACAACTTTATAGTCAGCCTTCTGTGACTTCAGTACCACATCCGTGGATTCCACCAGCCTCAGGTGGTATGGTACTATAGCACATAATTATGGAGAAAAATCCGCATATTTGTGGACCTGTGCGGTTCAAACCCATGTTGCTCAGGGGTCAACTGTATTTGAAGGTTGCTAAGAGAGTAGATCTTAAATGATTTTCCCACATATGAAAAAAAAATGGTAATCATGTGACATGATGGAGGTGTTAAAGTTACAGGGAAAATCATTTTACAATCTATGTGTACCAAATCTACATGTTGTACATTTTATATTTACACAATCTTCTATGTCAATTACTGCTCATAAACCTGGACAAAACTTATTTTTGAAACTACTTTTGAGAGTAACTCAAATAATATTATTTCTCATTCAGGTTTCTAACAATAATTAAAAGTACTCATTTTCAAATTATTAATTTGATTAATTGAATAATATTTTTACCACTTTCACTTGTATGTAAGTTATATTAAAATGGCAATATATTTAATATTTTATACCAAAAATTTGGATTTTTACTTGATATTTCAAAATATAATTACACGTTTTAATTTTGAAATTTTTAACTACTTAATTTCACTAATTAAAAAGTTTACAGAAACTATTAGAAATAATGGAAGAATTCAGCAATGTAGCAGGTTACAAGATTAACGTT